GATGACACTCAAATACCCTATCAGAAAACTCTAGTGGCTGGAAATTACCTTTTTACAGTGAGTGGTATAATTTTGATGTTGTTTTTGTGTGTTTACATGCATAAATATGGCCACGGTGTAAATGCACAGTACAGTTACGATCTTATTGCCACATTATATTTTTATGATAACACGATATCGTTGTCTTCAGTGATTTTCTAAAGATAAATACCAAAAAAAGAAAACGCAACTGGAATAACCACAGCAGTCAGCATCGTTGGTTTCATATAAAGCAAGAGATTGTGATGATGTGTGCAGGTGTTGTTGTGCTGTCCCATTTCTAAGAGATAAAACTTGAAGCCTTTCACACTCTGTTTCAAGAGCCAAGAGGAAGGGGTACAAAAATAGAATTGGAATTTTATCCTTAGTTTATTGGGCGCTTTTCAGTCAAGAAAAATTACAGTAAGAGCTGAGTGATATGACAAAATTCATAAATTTACATTAAGTCTTATACTCAGTCATGTGTTTGTTGCTTCATTACAAACATATGCAGCAAATTTCTCATTATACACATTAAACTAACAAAATATACTTTAAACTGACCTTATGCCTCACTGTGTATTGTTCCGATTTACCTGTTTTTTATCTTTACACTCTTGGAATTCATGTGAGAATGATGAAACAATGGTGTGTGAGGCTCACATCATGTCATTTTCATTTACTGAACTCTTTATTGTTTAGGTATGCCCAGTTATATGTAGAGTTTCATTATATGGCACCTTTAAGAATTGGCATTGATTTGTTAAAATGAAATATATTGAACTAGGTTTAAATTAATATTTGCACACATGTAGTGGTTAAAATTACACTGTATTTGGTCTCTTACCATGCAAACCACACTGACCTTCATCAGAAATTTACAATAAGAATAAGAATAAAACCTTTGTAAAAAAAAATAATAATAAAAAATATATATATATATGCACTAAACCAAATGCACAGTTTATATTTTCCATGCGTGCTACATAATCTGTTTTCTGTCTCGTCATATTCAGCAAAGCTTTTCAAATATATGACACTATAAAGTCCACTATAGTGCTTTTCTATGACCCTGTGACCTTCCAGTCCAGCTGCTTTTAGCTCTGTGTTTTAATTACCAGCACGCAGATCCAAAGGGGTCTTCAGTGCAAAGAAAAGGCCTTAATCAGAGCGCCGTCAACAGGCTGCAGTTAAGCCCCTGTCCTGGGCGCTGTGGCCCATGCAGTGTTCGGACACCCAGGTGTGAACAGAGGCCTCGTGTAACAGGAGAACACTTCACTATTAGCTCACTACAATGCAGACATCATCTCCTGTTCTCTCCCAGCACTGGATCATAAGCACTCATCCCTCTGCATCGTCTGGGAAAATCCCCCAACTGAGATGCAGAGGATGGTTACAATCGTCACAAATGGTGTTAAAAGCGCAGTTAGAGATTGCAGTGTTTTTTGGATAATGAAATGAAGGTTATTTCTGAGTTCTCAGCCCATCGCTATTGTGTTTGGTTTTGGTCAGTCCATTTGCGATATAAAAAAAACAGCTACTAATTCTCAAAAGGAAACTGGACACGTACCTCACACGGGGACGTTATCACATTACGATGTTAACCAATGAGATCAGACCCCACACGTCGCTTAGTTGTGGAGGAACAGACTGTTTTAGCCCCCACACACCACAAGTGGTTGTTGTAATGGGCTTCCATTAAAATTAGCACTTTTTAACCATTTAAAAATGTCTTCAATTCACTTTTTAGATTCTGTCTTTCAACTGTTAAACTGAATAGTGATTAATTATATCCATTCTTAAAGTTTATCACATTTTTAATTGTATTAGATTGATATATTTGCTTGGTCATTAAATAATTCTTAATTTGGCAGATCTTTTTTCCCACCTTGTCCAAAAAATATGAAGCACACAATTTTTTTAAATGGATAGTAATAAAGGTTTTAAGTAATAACAAAGTCCCTTTAAGGTAAGTCATTTTACTCGGCGGCCCACTCGACGCCTCTCGGACAGTATGCTCAGGCATTATGTCTCCATGGGGAAACATCAAATTCTTTAAAACTGTTTGCCAAGCTTACAATTACATTTCATATTTGGAATCACCAATAAAACTAACAACAACTGTCTCATCAGTTTAGTTTCTAAACGTCTGAATAAAACAAAATCAGCATATTTTCAGGAAGCCCAAGCTACCCAACCTCATTTATGGCCGTTCTACACATTATCTTCCGATTGCGCTGCTTTTCTGAAGTAATTCACAACTTGGTCTTGATGATGAAACTCCTTCAGAAATGACAGCAACTCTTTGATTTTAAGTTTGTGGGCGTTTAAGTAATTGCTGGCATTTGTGATGTGTGTTTGACAGGACAGACTGTACCTCGTGTTTTTTTTTTTCATACACATTACAAAATCACTTAGTACATTTAAAAGTACAAATTTCAAGCTTTATTTATATATATATTTCTTATGTCTGTGAAGCAAGTGTTCGCTGAGATTTCAGTGTGTTTGTTGACCACAAAAAAACACACATCTGGTCCGAGCTTTCTCCCCGGAAAAAATCAGTCTATAGTGATCGATGATTGGCTACCGTTCTAGTAGATGGGGCTTCATTCACCACATTGGCTGTTACACTTTTCCCCATATAAAACTATACGAGTGACACATCTTGTGTATTCTATAGTTTTTAGTAATGATTAGTAATGGTGGCCATGATGAATGAGCAACACATTAAAATTGTGTCTGACACAAAACTCCATCTTTTACATAATTTTTCAATAAAGATTTGAAAAAAAATAAGAGTAGTAAACATCTATTCTAAATGTATTACTTTACAATATTTCTGTTTTACATTTATAGTATGATCTAATCAATGCTGCCTTAGTGAGAATATGAGACTTTCTAAATTAGTAAACACAGTAAAACAGATTTATTTTAAGGTGCAATTTTTACTATTAACTATGACTTGCCTCATTGAACTCCTAAATTGCTGCTTGTTAACAGTTATTAAGGTAGTAGTTAGGTTTAGATATTAGCTATAGAGTTAAGGATGTAGAATAAGATCCTGCAGAATATGTATTTTATAAGTAGGGAAGAACAGGGACGAAAGTAACAAAGCCATTTTCTCGAAGCCCTGACAACATTTGCTTTACAGGCTATCCACTTGTTAAGTTTTGTCGCATCGGTGACGTATGAAATACTGTTTCCAATTCCAAGCTGCTACTCATTTGAATTGAGAAAATATTCTTTTTGATCACTTTTTACTCTTATCACACTTAAAGAGAATTTTCTATAAAATCATGTTGTACACCAAACTTTTAACATTTTGTAAAAAATTCATCACTTTCTGGCCATCTAATAATAGGCATGTTATTTATTGCAATAACACATCCTTTTTTCAGTTTTTCAGTTAAAAATGAAATCAGGTTTAAATGGCAATGAGTTAAATTAAATGGCAAATGAGTTCCTCTGGGGACACTAATAGCCATACCTAATAGCATAATAATAGTTTCAAATAAGCTTTTTTCAGCCCTCTCTCTAGTTTTCTTAAAAGTTTTTTAAGCAGTGCAACAGCTTTTAAAAATTAATAGAAATTGGTAATGTTTCTTAAGTAAATCAGCCTATTAATATCATTTCTGAAACATCCTGTGAAATTTCAGTTTTGATTTTGCAATTAAATCAGCATTGCTTGGGCTAGGGCTGTGTGATTTGGGGCAAATATCTGATTGCAAATAATTTATAATTTTTTGACAGATATTTCAATTTGATTTGCGTTTTGTAGTTAAGTTTTAGCTCAATAATCTGTATCGTAGCTTCTTACTGCTAAAATGCAGTGAATGTTAGTTAAAATTAGATTTTAAAAGATTTTAAGCTCATTTTTTTCAAGAGCAAACAGTAAACACAAATAAAATTACCTTACCTTTCTTTAAACAAGTTAAACTCAAATTAGGGTGATAGTGTAGCTTATTATACAAACATAATAATAATAATTTAAAAAATACAGAACACTCAGCAAACTAACATGGCTAAAACAACTTTAAATTGTCCTTTGCTGTTGCTTGCTGCTAGATCGAGTGACACCGGCAATACTTTCAGTTGACTTTTCAGCAAGACTCTCATATGTGCTTTTTTAGGTGCTGGTTGTTGCATTTCTTTGTGCTTTGTCAACAATTATTACAAATTACGGTAACATTTTAGAATAATGGTCCATTAGTTAATGTTAGTTAATGAATTTACAAACATGATCAAACAATTTGTAATACATTTATTATTCGTTCATTCATTTTCTTTTCGGCTTAGTCCCTTTATTATTCTTGGGTCGCCACAGCGAAAGGAACCACCAACTTATATAGCATATGTTTAATCCGGCGGATGCCCTTTCAGCTGCAACCCATCCCTGGGAAACAATCATACACACTCATTCACACACGGACAATTTAACTTACCCAATTCTCCTGTACCACATGTCTTTGGACTTGTGGGGGAAAGCCGAGCACCTGGAGGAATCCCACATGAACACAGGGAGAAAACATTTATTATATCTTCGTTAACATTAGCTAACTTTATTTCAGTTGGATAACATTTTTTTATGTTATTTCATGTTAACTCACAGTGCATTAACTAATGTAAATGAGCAAAACTTAAGATTTTAATAATGCATTAGTTAATGTTGAACTATGATTAATAAATGCTTAACAAGATTATTCATACTTAGTGAATGTTAGTAAATGCATTAACTAATGGATCATTATTCTAAAGTGTTACCCAAATGACTTGTTTTTGTTTGGTGACTTTGAAACCAAAATATTCCCACACAACTGATGTCCTGTTTTTCTTTGACTTTAATGAATCTATATCATATTGCAGCTAATTAGCTAATTGCAACATTTCAAATTGCATTTCGATTTTAATTAATTGCACAGCCCTAGCTTAAGCATTGGAAAAACATTTCAGATTTCTCTTCTTTTTTCTTTGTGTCTACCCAGATAACACAGCTAGACCCGGCGTGGAATCTGGTGGAGGCTAAACTCTTCCCTCAGGAGACCCTGTTTCTGGAGGCCAAAGAGTAAGGATCGATCCGAAATCTCTTGGAGTGAACAGGAAGAATAAGCAAAGGACTTTAGCATGATGTCCACATTGACCAGACACACACACACACACACATACACACACACACAAACACACAAGCCTTTACACACTTTCACACACGGTGTGTTGTATATGAATGCTGAGTGTACATTTTATGCACACGGAGGCCTTCACAAGCACACGGATAAACGTTCACCCTCTTCACATAACTGCAGTGTAATGTTCTTTCTCCACCCAAAACGTAAAGTAACCGAAAAAACAAAAAGAAAAAAAACTTAAGCAAGCAAAAGTGTGGAAGTCTAAAAAAGCCAGCCGCACAAAGACTTCTCACTACGGCTGCTTTTTAGACATGTTTTGTGTTGAAATGAGACAAAAAAAAAGTATGAATGAAAAAAAAAACAAATAAATGAAATCAAACAAAGAGACATTTCCTGGAGAACGCTGGACCATTTTCCTTTTCCCCATGGTTTTCAGAGGCCCTGGACAGCCCATAATCCCCGGCTTCTTTCTCATACCCAAATTGATGATCCTTGGTTTTAATATCAATTGCTTATGTTTATTTTTCTCCTTTTTTCTCTCCCCTTTTTAAGTTTGATGCTGTATTAGATTTAGGTTGATATACATTATATAAAGAATATATGAACATGCATGTGTCTTGCCACTCTAAATTTATTTTTTGCATTCATGTGAGGGAGACTGTATCATCGTGACATCGTCAAAGCCTCTTCACATCGAAGCCCTGCGTTTTAATACATGACTGCCAAGGTAAATTGAAAGGATTCTGTGTATTAAACCTCAAATGTCGTTCCAAATCAGTATAACTTTTTTTTTTGCAAACAGAATATATGAAATTATTGACAATCTGAAAACCACATACAGGAGGAAACATCAATGAGGTAGTCTGTATGATGCATAATATTATCATATTTTGAAGATAGGTTATCTTTCAGTGAGAAACAGACGTTAGTTTCATGCTGAGAAAGATTTGTGTTTGATTTATAGATCAATGGGTCCAGTTATTGCTCATATTTCCAATGAATTTTACATAAGTTTGTCTATTAAAGGTGACTTACTCATTGTTTGAAAAAAAACATTTTTCATTCTACAGAAGAAAGTCATACAGGTTCTGGAATGATGTGTGGGTGAGAAAATGGCAACATTTTCATTTTTTGCTTGAACTGTTCTTTTAACAACCATCCATTTTGACTCTCTAATGTTTTTCAATTACTGCCAGCAGGTTTGTTACCAATTATTTGAAAAATGTTAATTCAATGAGGAAATTACACCCTGGGAAAACTGCTGAAATCTACACTGCTCATGTGAACCACATCTGGTGAACACTGTAATTCAGCAATTGAGCTTGTGGCTTTTTTTGTCGTTGTGCATGAGAATGTTGCCGGTGGCGTTCACATGATTGGTCATGTATCGAGAAAGGACTCAATGAAAGAATATTCAATAATCACTTTGAACCGCTGTCTGAATTCTACACCACATGTGCTGAGACACTGGATTATTTTACTTTTGACATTGATTTACACTGGATGGAGAGTTTGGGGAAACTGGGGTTTTTAAAGCATCCCTGCTGAGATTTACTGGTCACTTTTAGAGGTTAAAAGTAAAAAAAAAAAAAAAAAGTCAAATGAAATTTAATTCAGCCTTTTATTCCAAACACATAAGATTTTTCTTTATATTCAGGATATAAATGAAGATATTTTGGTAACACTTCTGTGAAAGCTGTGTATATTGCCTTCATTAAGTGTTAGGTAGCCCAAATAAATGTTTTATTAATTTTTACTCATCTTCATGTTGATCCAAACCCCTGAGACCCTCTTTTATCTTATCATATTTTAGAGGAAACCTAAGAGCTCCCTCATCCTCCATTGACTGCGATGGTCTAGACCAGTGGTCCCCAAACTTTTTATCACCAAGGAACGGTCAACGCTTGACAATTTTACCAAGGCCTGGGGGCGAGAGGTGGTGTTGGGTAAACGTAGATTGCTAGGCGACCACCGTTTTCTCAGAGGATGACAAGCTGAGAAAACATTGGTGCAACTCTGATACAAGTTTTAATTTATGGAGATTTTTTAAATACTGTATTGTTTGGGTGTTCTGTGTTTGTCTGAGATAATTAGTCTACCAAAATGTGTATATTCCATAAAAAGTATGAAGCTGATTAGTCAGTTCTTGTCACGTGACTCATGTTGCGCTTGCGGCATTGAAAAGTTGGGTGTGCCGCATGCGCACGTCACTCCCAATATGGGAGCCTCCGTTGGAAATAACTAACTTGCACATGGAAAAAATGCGCTATGTGAACATTTGCGATCTACTTTTTTTTTCTTGAACAGACTAGCTGGACTCACTTGACTAATACAGATTCATTCCTTGGCAGTTTATAGGTCCTTCACTGGTCCTTTTCCCCTTTACAAAGAATCTTTACAAAGATGTCTGTTTCTTACTTATTTTGCTGCTTGTGGGATAAATGTTGGCACTCAAGTGACTGAGATATAACAGAATATGGTCATTTTTCAAAATAAAAGATTTTTCAAAATTAAAAATTGTTCAGACAAAGATAATAAATAAAACTGATATAATTAATGATTTCTTGTGTAGCCTGGTACCAGTCCGCAGCCTGGGGGTTAAGGACCACTGGTCTAGACTCATTCAAACTCCAAAAAATACCAAGAAACATCCTAATACAGTCCATACTTGTATACCTTAGAAGATCAATTGGAATATTATGAGGAGTTTCTCTCCTCAGTGTCAGTATAGGGTGCAGATTCACATGATGGCTGTGTTTTTTTATGCACGTTGTGCTCAGTCACGCTGCTGATGTATTACCTTATTATGGGCCTGTGCTTCATTTCAAAAAGAGGAAATTGCACGCAGGCATTTGGGGTATACATCAGTGCACAGAGGACTCTCATGGACATGCGCCCTATACTGTCAATGAGGAGAAGAACTGTTGAATGAAGTTATTTTATATTTATGTGTGCACAAAATTATTCTCTTAGTCTTCAGATTATAACATTTTGAAAAAACAAGGCCTGTTTTGACACTGTTTTGGTACCTTGTAGGACTTGTACCTTGTAGTCTGGAGTCAGGACTATTGCTGTCTATGGAGGTTCAAGGGTCTCTCAGGTATAATCTAAAATGTCATCATTTGGAGGTCTCTGATGTTTAAAACAGCATGTGGGTGAGTAATTAATAATAGAATTGCTTTTTTTGGGGAACTAAACCCTTTAATGCAATATGCATGAATAAAGCCTTATAAATACCCTTATAATATGTGATTATATAATCATTTACAAGATTAAACAATTATTCTTAATGCATTATAATGCACAACAGTTATTAATATAGTTGTTGTAGCTTTTAGGTTAAGGTATGGGATAAGAATAAAGGATGTAATATATGACCAAGTTGGCCAAGACATTGGTAAGTACTAATAAACTTTCAATATGCAAACACATAAACATTTAGCTATATAATGAGTATGTCACAATGCTAAATGTTGCACATTGTGACATATTCTGTATACTTACAGGATGGTATTTTAGTATGGTGTGACATTATAGTATTATGGTTAAATCTTTTCAGTTTTTGCCTCTCTCTAATCAGTACAAATACACTGTAAGAAGTAAAATGATACAGTTTAGATCTTAAGGAAACAATGCCAAGATATTAAACTTGAGTAACTAGATGATATGAAACTATGAATAAAATAGTGTTCAGTATGATTGTCGTCGCTAAAGGGATAGTTCTCCCAAAATTGTGTCATACCCTTTTCTTGTTCCACATCTGTTCTACTACTTCTGTTAAACACAGAACAAGATATTTAAGTCAGAGACCTGTAGCCATTGACTTTCATAGTATTTGTATGCAAGTCAATAGTTACAGGTTTTCAGCTTTCTTCAAAATATCTTATTTAGTGTGTAACAGATAATTTGGAACCACCTGAGAGTGAGTAAATAGTAAATAAACATTTTTGTGTAAACTATTCCTTTAAAATTGATGAGATAACACAACACAATATAGTGTTGTTTGAGGCATCATGCATGCGTTGTAACATTAAAAATAATCTATTATAATGACAGGATTCTTAGAATGTATTACCTGACTTTTTAATCAAATTTTAATTATTTATTTTGTACCTGAAAACTTGCTGTCACACTAAAAATGTCAAATGAGACCAAAAATAATTCCAGGTGAATCGAGTGGTTTAATCAAAGACTTCTGAAGACATGAAGTATAAAATGAACAAATAAACATTAATCTGCAAACACATTTTTTATTAAGCATTCCTGCCGATGTGTGAGAACCAGTGAGGTTCAATCTTACAAAACACCAATGAATATTGTTCATTTGTATCAAACAAGTGTAGTTCATCTGCTGATTGATGTTTATGTATGAAAAAAAGACAAAATTAAATAGGTTCATGAAACAAAAAAATGATTATTATGTCTCTTCGGAAGACTTGGGTCGAACTTCTTGATTCATAAAGATTTCTGTTTTGTTAAGCAAGTTCTGAGTGAACAAATTTTCATATAGAAGCTTCTTGAGTTTTATAAAAAAATTCTGAAAAGGCCCATTAACTGATTGTTTTATTCTGTTGTCCGTGGTCCACTTATGATGTTTGTGTGGATTTTTCTATCAAAATCAATATGTAACAAGCTTTTTTCTACCATAGTTTTCAGGCTGTCTCAGAGAATGCCAGTATTTTCTGCTAGATCATATGATTGGATTACTGTTCTGCATAGTAAACTAGTATTCGACTTCCCCTTATCTTCACATGAGGCACTGAATACCTCTGTGGCTCGTCTGACCATCCCTTGCGTGAATCGGTGGGTGGATCTACAGAATCATACATACATACAATCAGACATACAGAGTTTAATGTACCTATGATGTCATAGATGGGTACATTTCAGAATCTGGCATTTATTTGGGGCCTGGTGTCATTAAGAGCTGTTATTTTAGTAACAAGGATGTTTTCAGTTCTAAAACATACAGTTATATTAGTATGATGATCTCTAACATATCAAAAACTCGAGTTAATGTTGAGATCTCAGTTCATGACTCCTTTAAATTTCTTATGGGTTTGAAACCACATGATGACATCTAACCCTTTAAAACTGTTCATATTGATGAGGGTATGTGGAAACAAATGAAGTGATCATTTTAAAAGCATCTTTTGAATGCGGTTGATGTGAAGTTGAGTTCCTGCATAGTGACTTTTTTTTAAACTAGATCGAGGGATTCTCACCTGCAGGCTGTTTCATTGGTGTTGCCCTGCCGTTCGCACGCAAAGAATCTAAATGTTTAATGTGTGCATCCAGTCGTACTTCCACTGCAGATGATGAGCCCTGAATCATTCTCACACACACGCAAACACACACTGTTTGCTGAGAGTGAACTTAAACTAACTCAAACACTGTCTTGTTCTGGTCATTGAGTTCAGTATTCATTTTAGACAATGGAGAGAAAGCAGCTTTATTCAGAGTGACAACAACCAGTGAAATTACAGCTCTCTTCTGCCTCGCTCGGGTAACATAATTCTCTGAAATCAGCTCCTGTGTTTTTGTCAGCCTCCAAAATGAACATTCACAACTTCTATTTGCCCTCTTGCTCATTTAAGGCGAGACACTGAACAAAAAATGTAGTGTTTTGTCTGCATTCTCCAGTCAGTTTTAAGGTTTTGGACTAAATGTTTTTGCTGTGGAAAGTGAACTAACAAGCGCACTTTTATCCATTTTTTAAAGCTCATTTTAGATTTAAATTACAGTGCATATTTCTTTAAATGCAAATTGTGATTAACTTTTAATTATGAAATTAGTTTTTTTTGCGCTGCACTAACCATAAATCTCCATTACAGTATACTGGTTTATTCTGTTTTGTTTTATCTATATCCATATTTTGAAGGTTTTTACAGAAGAATATCTTCATGCACAGTTGGATTAAGATCTGGTGACTGTGGATGTCATTTGAGTACAGTGAACTTATTGTCATGTTCACGAAACCAGTCTTTCATGGTTAATGACATGGCACATTGTCCTTGTCTTCTGCATTCCTCGGTTGTAGCGATTGATTATTTGAGTTACAGTTGCCTTTCTGTTTGTTGAAACCAGTCTGGCCAATGTTCACTTGACCTCTTGCATCAACAAGGCATTTGCACCCACAGAACTGCCGCTCACTGGATATTTTCTCTTTTTTGGACCATTCTCTGTTAAGCCTAGAGATGGTTGTGCGTGAAAATCCCAGTAGATCAGCAGTTTCTGAAATACTCAGACCAGCCTGTCTGGCACCAACAACCATGTCATGTTTGAAGTCACTTAAATTACCTTTCCTCCCCATTCTGATGCTCGATTTAAACTGCAGCTGATCATCTTGACCATGTCTACATGTCTAAATGCATTGAGTTGCTGCCATAACATTGGCTGATTAGAAATTTGCATTAACAAGCAGTTGGCCACATGTACCTAATAAAGTGGCCGGTGAGTGTAGATTATTTTGCTTTTTAACAATAATTTCTGAAATATGGAAAACCCCTTCAGTGAAAAACTTTGAGTTTTTGTCAAAAGAACATTTTAGGAATATGTAAAAAAAAAAAACTTTGTGATTGTAATCAGTGAATTATAGTGAATAACTAGTTTTTACTTTAATTTTACCATTTTCACCTGCATTGTCTTGCTTTAATGTTGTGAAATATGAGTAAATCCTATGTAAACTGGGCTTGAATGTGTTTCAGGTCGTAATCACATTAAGCTTGTCCTCGTCTCCCGTACTCATGCTTTCAAGAAAGAGCGAGCACTGAAAGGTAAGCTTTTCTCATTTTCTTGAGTTTTCATCATGCTCGATCAGGTGTGACCGACTGGTAAATCCAGCCTGAGGGAGTAATGTTGGTTATGCAGGCTCTGTGTGCGTGTGATATTACTGTTTCAATGACTGAATGATTGGTTAATGCACGCAGACATGGGCTTTGTGCTGACACACACAGAGCGATGATGTGCAGGTCGGAAATGCGGTCATTTAAATGGTGAACTGCTATTTCTTTTTCAGCTTGATCCGGCTTGCCTATACTCGATTATCAGCGTTCTTTTGACAGGTGTGTTTATAGCTATATGAGAAGAGCCCAGTTTTTCCTCACAATGGAAACAGTAATCCTTCTGTTTGAATCAGAGAATATAATGTTTTTTTCCCTTCTATTTTGTTTCTTTTGTTTCGTCCAGTAGTTTTTATTAGCCTTTACACTTTAAGTATTATAAAATAGCTGACATTTATGATGTTATGTTTTTATAAATATTGTTTTAAAAAAGTAAATATATATATAAACATACAGTGCTCAGCAGTAAATAATATTTGACTAGATAGTTTTCAAGACACTTCTATACAATTTAAAGTGACATTTAAAGGCTTAAGGTTAATTAGGTTAACTAGGCAGGACAGGGTAATTAGGCAAGTTATTGTATAATGATGGTGTGGGAAATATTTTTTAAAAAAATCAAAGGGGGCTAATAAATCTGATTTAAACGGTACGTACATACATGTGCGTATATATATATATATAAATATATATATATATATATATATATATGTGTGTGTGTGTGTGTGTGTGTGTATGTATAGTGCATGAAAGTGTCATTTTACTACATTTGTATTGAAAACTGATAATAGTTGCACATGTATTTCCACAATTTATCTGCATTTAAAGTAGGCTAATTAAATATTTTAACTATTTTGTAAATGTTAAGGTAATAACAAAATGTATAGAGCAGTGAATTAGACATAGTTACATAGCATATAGTCAAAAATAATACTTACAAATGTATTTTTTTACAATTTCTAAAAGTATTTGAAAGTGTGTGACATTTCTTATTGTCATTTATTGACAGTGGTGGTCAAATTTATTCGAATCTGACAGATATGAAAAATTTACTTAAAACAAGATCTCTTTTCATAATTTTCATTAAACATGCAGAGCAAGCATGATTTGAACATAACAATCATCAGATAAATTGAGTTTAACATTTAGTATGTCAATGTCAATGCATTTCCAGAGCTTCTAGCTGAAGACAGAAACTTTTCTGTTTGTAAGGAAACTGACCAAAATCTCTTAATAGATGGCTATATTCCATGTTTTTAGTATAAGGGTGACTACATATTGAATATATTTTGTAATAGTATTCAGCAAAAACTAGTGAAACCCCTCTCTCTCTCTATATATATATATTTAAGAGGTTTATTATTGTGAGAGGGTTCTTCTGTCAGATGTGTGACATCTCAATCTGTGACTCTGAATATTGAGCTGTTGTCAATCAAGATTCCTATTTTCCAATGCCATAATAGTTTGATCCCGAACTCTCGGCTGAGGGACAATAGAGTTATTTTGTGGCTTCCTGTGACACAGATCCTCCTCTGGCAACATCAGGTGGTGACTCGATTCTTCAATAACAAAAGGGAAGCGTTCAATAATGTTTGACTAGTCTTTAAGGGTCAAGAATGCTGCTGAGAAAAGAGAATTCCTGACGCAAGTGATCTCTTCTTTGAAGCAGCTCCTGATCCCACAGCATCCACTCGCCCAGCGATGCCGAAATCCCAGACTAAACTAACCTGGAGGGTCACTCAAAGTTTACTTTCTCAGAGACGCTAGAGAAACAGAATCTATGCGGCTTAAAGAGTCGCCCGAAAAAAAGGGGGCTCATTTGTGGTGCGAATGGAGCGAGTGGCGGGAGGGGCTGCAGTGAACAGAAATAGTTTTATTGGCTGCTAATAAAAGGAATGTTTCAGTCGTCCTGACAGATCTCTTGGAGTTTCAGTCGATTTTGCATTCAGTAGAATTTTATTTATGAACTTGTGCGTTGAGACCTAAGAGTGTTGGTACTTTGACTTTTAACATTTTTTGCCCGAGTATTCTTCTCCTTATAAATGCACCGTTAAAATTCTTTTTTTTTTTGCCATTTTTCTTAAGGAATTAAATGTTTTTTTTGCATTTTAAATTATGCTAAAATGTGTTTTAAGAACAATTGATTGTCTCAAACAAGTACACAAACAAATAATGAATATTTGGTTAGAAAGCAAAGTGATACAAGATTGCGTTTAATATTATTTTAATATTATTTTTTATTTGCTTGTTTACATTGAGTCATGTTTTTATATAGCCTGGATCATATATTAATGTAAATTAATCCTCAGGAAATGACAAATGTATATTGTGCATTTATATGGCAATGTCAAACATTTTAATCGCTCCAAATAGGGCAATCAGAAATAGCTGTAATTTGCTAAATTAAACTTTTAACTGTCCCACCGACAACAAAAAAAGTGGATTGCATTTCTTAACTCCTAATGTTGCTAGTTAACACACTCAATGTATTCTTTTCAACACATCCCATAATTTCTAAAATATCAACCATTTGGTAGAGGTTGATATGTCAAAAATACCGGAATTGATACATATATACTATGAAAAATAAGAAAATATGGAGACCAATTCATGTAAAAACATAATCAAAACAAAACATTTTGAACACATTTTGAAGTATGCCATACAATATTTCAGATTCTCATTTAACATGCTTTTTTGTTTTGTTTTGTTTTACAATAAAACCAAAGTCAGTTGTAGTAGTGCAATAGGATTGTTTATTCGATTTTTTTTGTAAACCAACATTGCTGTCTGTGTAAACCATTATTTAAAACTCTCATTTTTTAAATGACTTAAAACAGTCAAAATAGAGTAGGCAGTTAAAGGGTTAAGTCAAAAACTTCCAAATTATTTTGGGATAATCAAAACGGTCACTGTTAAAATGAACAGTATTTTGTAAATATTTTCCACAAATACATGTTCTTTAAAATATTTCGCTCCACAAAGTGATGTCGATCATAAGAATACTAACTAATTTTGTTTAAAGCTGAACGCGGCCTACTGCACCTATTTATTAAAAATAAACGTTAAGTCGGAACTTCCAATTTCGTTGCTTTATTTCTTTTTTTTTCAGCTTGAACATAATTTTTCATTAAATGAAAATTTGTAAGCCTATTTGCCTATACAAGGCAAATATTACTACACTGGGAAAAAAAGTCATTCATCCTATATAAAAATTAGAGTAATGGTTCACATCTCAACTGTATCACTTGACCCAATGAAAACTAAATAGTTCTCATCTCCATGAGAACAAATTTATATAACCTGGTACAAAACATAATTGTCTTGTTGAAGAAAGTCAATTTATTTACAATCTCTTTTTGTTCTAAACAAGAAGATATTATATAGCTTTATTCAAAACTAAAATGTTCATTCATCCAATTAAAGAATAGTAGCCTAAGTATTTCACATCCAAATTTGATCACTTGAGCCAATAAAAAAAAAAAAAAAAAAAAAATTTGCCTTAATATTTTTTTAAGTCTATGAAAGTACAAAGCATATTGAGCTTTAATACGCCCGCACTGGCCTGTGTGAGAAGCCTTAAAAATTTACATTGGTCAAAACAAAAATGTCTTAGTTTAGTTTAATCAAAATCGTTTATATTTAACTATTTATTTACTATTTATTTAACTATATTTAAAATGAAAGATACATTTTAGTTGAATTAAGTACAGCTTGGAATTGTTTTCAGTGTGATGTCAGCTCTTACAGTAGTCACTGTTTGCTAAAAGTCGTTTTTAGTTATATATTGCATGTGGATGTGATAACATTGTTGCAGCAATCTTGACACGTGATTAAAAAAAAGAACCATTTAAATGTTCAATTTTAATCGATATCAGTGCCAGCAAACAAATGAAATCAATGCACCAGTTGATTAATTTGTTGCTGTGGTAACATATTTGGCAATTGCATTAAAGGTAAAAACTGATTCATTCATGAGATAATTCACATAATCTTCACCAGCAGCTCTCAGCAGTGACACTGAGCATTAATCTTTCGATATTAAAAAGTTGTCCAGAAAGTAAATTGACACGGCCATTGTCTGGGTCAGCCCAAGCCCGGTTTCCCACTCCCGTCTCATATAAGAAAATTCTGTGAGGGAGAAGAAAAAATAATAAAGCTGTGGTATTCGGATTATCGCGGACCAGGATAAAGCATTAAATGGGGCTAAAGGGGCCTGAATGGGCGCAGTGGCGTGCGAAGAGAAGCAGAGTAATTATTGCTTCATAATTGTGTTCTTTTTCTTTTTCCCCCCGACAGCAACGCGCTGCGGAGCCCCACTTGGAGCGGTTGTGACATTTAGGAGGCCGGTCTTTGTGCTCAACACTTCAAGTTTAAAAAACAAGGCCAATTGAGTCGGCGCAGCTCAAAGCCCGAACCATTGTGAGGGACCACATTGAGTTTGGATTTGGGACAATGGTGTTTCTCAAATTTCTTGCAAAAACCTATACTCCATCTGTGATCTCAATGAGCGCTCTTTCACTGGGTTCCTGCATTTCTGTTTGATTCGTTTGTAAAGGGAGGCAGATGTGGAGGGATGGAGGCCGCATTTTAATTGGCTGATGGCTGACACACACACACACACACACACACACACACACACACACACACACACACACACACACACACATCATTTCGTCTGTCAACGGAGTTTGTGCATCCTTCGTGTAGAAAGTGAAAAGTGTGTCTCTATAAATAAGATTGTATGGAATTTGTATTACATATGACGCTTTAATAAATATATTTCCAATTTTTCCAGTGTAGAAATTTTCAGTTTCATCCAAGAAATGTTTTTATTCTCAAAAGTTCCGTAAAACTAAACGTTAACACCCAAGAAAACTGAGTGTAAAATGTTTCTTTATATCAAGTGTATACTATTTCCTATTTGTAGGCTATGTAGTTTGAATTTGTTTTAATGTTTATTATTTACTATTTTACTTTAATCAGGGCGCCACGGTGGCGCAGTTAGTAGCATGATCGCCTGACTGGTTCGAGCCTTGGGTGGGCCTTGGCATTTCTGCTGTGTAGAGTTTGCAAGTTCTCCCCGTGTTCGCGTGAGTTTGATCCGGGTGTTCCAGTTTCCCCCGCAGTCCAGACATGTGGTAGGCCTAGGTGAATTGGGTAAGCTAAATTGGCCGGTGTGTGTGTGTGTGTGTGTGTGTGTGTGTGTGTGTGTGTGTGTGTGTGTGTGTGTGTGTGAATGAATGAATGAATGAATGAATAAGTGTATGGGTGATGGTTTGCAGCTTGAAGCGCATCCACTGCATAAAACATATACTGGATAAGTTAGTGGTTCATTCCGCTGTGGCAACCCCTGATTAATAAAGGGACTAAGCCGAAAAGAAAATGAATGAATTTTTACTTAAATCAACTGTTAAATGTTTGTATAATAATCCGCAAAAATTAATTTATAAGTATAGTTTTAATTTAAGCTAATTATATAAATGAGATTTTCAGATTTTTGCATAAAGTTGACACATTTCCGTCTATTATTATTATTATTATTATTAGTAGTAGTAGTAGTATTTATTTAAATATTGATTATCTTCATATCATTTAGTTGAAAACTTTTTTGTAGTTAATTAAATTACCTTATTATTGTCATTCGTTTTTTATAGACTTTTGTTCCTTCTTAACGTGTTAATTCATCTTAATAAAATGCGTATCATTGTATTGTGTTTATCTTTTTTTAAAATTGATTTTCATTAATTTATTTTCGTATTTTTAATCTTTAGCACTCCCGAAAACTCCTGCATTAATTTCTGATTTAATTCGTATGAAAATGCAGTGGAAAAAAAAACTTGGTCCTTTAAGCAAGACGTTTTCCCACCAGACCAAGATGAGGTTGCATTAAAATGTAAAATTAAGTAGGCAGAAGCAGCTCCAAGTTCCATGAAGTTTTCAAGAACTTTTTTTTAAATAAATAACCACTGTATAAAAATATAGACGACATGATAAAAACGAAATAGTAAAAATTATGTGCTTATCACAAAAAAATCGCCAAAAAAAAACGATTCACATACTTGATTTTGCTTTGAATGTTGCATCAATTAACCAAATCAAACAGATGAGTTAATAATCAGAAATAAATACAGTATTAATTAATATATTTCAAATATAAATAAAAAATGTAGCTATAAAATGTAGGCATATATAGAGCAATGTACATCGAGGGCTCCGTCCCTAGTAAGCCAATAAAAGCTTATTTTAACGCAGTTATTTTAAGCGCTTTGTTCAGTGCCTTTAGGGGAATGCCATTGCTGCGCTCAAGGGTCCTGCGCGGCGCGGCAGCTTTTCATGTGAACAAGAGGTTAACAACCTAATGAGGACTTGGAGACGAGATGAAGCGTGTAAATACACTGGTTTTTCTGAAAACCGCGCGCTCGGCACCCTCGTTCCTCTTTTTATCTGCTACTCTAACCTATGCCGCGCTCTGCGCACTCAAACCAGTCCAGCAGGAGTTCCGCAGGGAGGCTGTTCGGGTCCAGCCGCGCTCCGGCCGGGTACCAGCGGAGAGAAAGATCCTTACAATAGCGCTCCGGGGTGCTGGAGGAACAGAGACATGCTGTTACATATGTCGGGTCAAGCATCTCTTTTGTGTCGCTTTAAAAAGGTGTAAAACTCAGTCAGCGGTGGAGATTCTAAAGGGAGTGAAAGCCTTGTATGGGTTTTTGATGCATAGGTCTGATGAACTGTTGAAAGAATGTTGAATTTCCTAAGTGCCCACAGTCAGTTTTAATTGCCCGGGGGCATTTAATTGGAATTCACAGAGACGCCCATTCAATGGAGAGATTTTCTTTTTCAAGTGAAGTGTGTAGAGGGCCGGATTCATTATTTAAACTTCATAAAATATGGAGGTTCTGCTTGAACAAAATTAGTGGCCTACTAGCATACGCTGTTAAAAGGTGCTGCTTGGCCTCAGAGAAAAAAGTTTGTTTTGTGGTTGTTTGAGTTTTGAAATATCGTTTAGATCAATGTGGCTTTGTTTTTACAACTGAATAAAAGTCGAACCTGTAGATTGGGATAAGTTTTTAAATAATTTTTGATGAAAAAAATATGCAATGGGGTTTGACTAGGTCTTTTGTGTGTGTGTGTGTGTGTGTGTGTGTGTGTGTGTGTGTGTGTGTGTGTGTGTGTGTGTGTGTGTGTGTTTTATACCATTGTGTCTATAATAGTTCTTAGGCTTAGTTCTCATATCTGAAGACCACAATTGTTCAGAGTTGTGCTTCACCATCTCTCAGTTTATGAACAATCAACGCCTGCTCGCGGGTTTGTAATGATCTCGGGATGTCTATTTTCAGTCGCGTGAGATCGCTGCCGAGATAATGACTTTGAATGTCAAAAAGCTTTAGTTTAATATCGTCTCTATTAGTGTTCTGGTTGGGTAATTAAAGGTGCAGATGAGAGCGGCGGGGGGGACAGATGGCATTTGCTTACTGTGATTGAGTGTGTAAACAATAAGAAACCGAGCGACAGGGAAACAGTACAGGCACACATCATTTTATCGAAGAGTGCGTGAAATTCAGAGTCCAGGTAGTAAAGAAAACCGTGTCGAGGAAAGACCATGAAGAAAAAAAAACTTCTTTAGATTCTTAATTGGAAAATACTTCAGAGATAAATTCACCTTTAAGTCTTTTGCGACGTTTACGTTTTACTAGAATAACAGTATAATTATTTAAAACAATGACAGTGTTCAATTGATCCTTAAATAAACAACAATTATCAATTCGCTGATCCTTTATGTAGGCTATTTATGCATATGTAAAACCTTCTGGGTTGTTTCTGTGCTTAAAACATTCATATAAATTGCTCAAAAATACATGAAGTATTTATGAATCACTACATTTTGAATTATGACATATTTATTTGCATTTTAGTACAAACAGACATATCAAAGCTTTGCAATAATTATTTGAAGCTTTTAAAATGGGCTAAAAATGAAAAAATCCTCGCTTTATATTCTTTTATGAGGTAAACAATATTACATGCGATTGTAAAATAATTGACCAGTAGCCTATTATATGAATAAATTTAAATATATTTTCGTATTTTGCACAAGCCAGAGTTATCAGGAAACAAAACAGAGGGAGAAAAAAAATCAAATATCATCTTAAATTTGTTCGAAACTAATGAAAACGACTAGACTTTAAATCAAGCCAGCAAGAACAACGCTTAAAATAAATAGCCTACAATGCCAAGTAGAAAAATAGTGTTTTAATTACATAAATGTGCGACGAATAATAAAGAGGAACAGAAGTAAAAGTCAAGCCTGGCTAACGCGTTAAACCACGTGCAACTTCTTAATATCATATCGGGCAGTAGCTACATAGCCTATATAAATAACGTTATTTTGATTTATTTTATAAATTAGGCAACTAAATAATTTAAAGTCCTGTTTCTAATAAATGAGAAATTACACACAAGTAACTAAAGTAGTTTAGCTAAGTTCTGAATAAATACAAGCATGCCGTTTTAGACTACGAAACAATGCTGACAAAAAACAATTACAAATACGCAGTAAACAATTACGAAACAAAACGAATATCCCTTAAAGTCTTGCTTAAAACTTACCGTTTATCGACATTGACGTCATTCTACAAGGGACTGGCTCTTCACTACAAAAAAGTCTCGTCTTCCAGTGTTTAAAAAATAACTTGGACTACTTTTAAAGAGAAAATAAATGCGTTTGCTATTCATATTCTGAAAACCCACGTAAATCACCTTTTAGCAGCTCCTTTGACTAAACGGCTTTTTATAAAGCCAAATTGTCCAATAACGCGTTTAGAGAATCAGCTAGTCGTCTTTAGGATCTATAGCCTGTATTTTTGTAAATAATTTCTTATGATAAAAGTTTTATGTTTTAGCTCTGCGTGATGCTTGTTATTTGAGAAAAGAACGCAGGTGGACACAGTTGAAAAAGAGACAAGCCAATCAGATCGCGCCTTCCCCCTTTGGCCAATGACAGGCGCCACATTGTTGTCAAATTTGTCTAATGAAAACGTGGGCGCAACAATAGATCGAGAGGGATCTGTATCCACTGAAGATCTCTCGAGGAAGTTAGTGTCTCACACTGGCTGCAGCAGCAAACTCTGCTCTCTCACACTGCTGGCCGATCGTTGAGTTTAAAGTTAGTTTCGCATCGCTTTCCATGGATTTTTGTGTTTTAAGATTAACTTTTATTTGTGTTACGCGTAAGTTTAATTTCTAAAATCGGCACTTCGTTCGGGCTGCTTGTGGACTGTGCGCAACAAGTTGAAGATCTCGCTGGAAAGAGGACTTTCATAATAAATTGGTTTCTGCTTTCTTCTTGGACACTGGCAGTCGGGCTGTGTTCTTTAAATGCTGTACTGAAGATATTCACCTTGTATCGATTCTGGCCAATGCTTATGAAACGTCTCCGATCGAAGACTTCGGTTGCGCACGTATTTTAACCTATCGATCCGCTGTTTGTTGATTCGGAGAATATGGATCTTCGTCCAGAGATCCCACCCGCCTCTCAGGCAGGGTCGCAGGTTCATCCAGGCGCTGCTGCTGCGGCGGCCGCTGCCGCCTCCATACCAGTTTCAATGGCAGGTAGCCTGTTAAGGGCCCCGCCGCTGTTGCTTCGCGCTACGGAGAAGTATCCAAGGACGCCCAAGTGCGCCCGGTGCAGGAATCACGGCGTGGTATCCGCGCTCAAGGGGCATAAGCGCTACTGCAGATGGAAAGACTGTATGTGTGCCAAATGCACCCTGATCGCGGAGAGACAGCGCGTGATGGCCGCTCAGGTCGCGCTCCGCAGACAGCAGGCGCAGGAGGAGAACGAGGCGAGAGAGCTCCAGCTGCTCTACGGCACAGCAGAGGGTCTGGCCCTTGCCGCTGCCAACGGCATCATACCTCCCCGGCAAAACTACGAGGTCTTCGGCCCAGTTAGCAACGAATCAAACTCTGGTAAGTAGAAACGTTATGATCATATAGCCTATATGGAAATACTTAAAAATAAAGATTTTAGTTGGAAGCAGTAAGTGTGATCCACCTTTTAGTTTTCCATATTATAACGAAGATAGTATTAATAAAAATATATATTTGTACTGGCATTATTTAATGCAACTTGTTACAGAATCCAGTATATGTTGAAAAAAAGAGCACACAATATTCCAGCTTTTTAGAGAGCTAAATTATCATGTTATAGCCAGTTTAAGAACATAATTCCCTTTAAAGTACAATTGAACATATGTTTTATATAATTGCATATTTAGCATGATGTGTTGTATTCTATGTAATTTGTACTAGTCTATGGAAGTTGAATAGTTTCACTAGTTTACAAACCCAGAAAATAGTTATGGAAGTTACTGACGTGCACAAATCTATTCCAGGAGAATCAAATATCCAAAAGTTCGAGCTGTTCCCCAAGACACCTTTACCAGGAACGGTGACACCACATCAGGCGGCTGGAAAGTCTGTATCCACCGACACCGAATCCGTTCCTGGCATGTCGTCTCCAGATATGCGCCACGGCTCGGGTTCGGAAAACGGCGACCGAGAGTCTATCGTGAGTTCCCCGATAGCCAAACCACTAAAAGATGGCGAGGAGACGCCAGGCTCAATCAGTCCCATCGGCTCAGACTCCGGCTCCGACACGGATAAAGATGAGCAGGAGCCCTCGCCCTCTTCCGCGGCATCACGACAGATGAACGCCATCGACATCCTAACGAGGGTTTTCCCTAACCACAAGCGTAGCGTCCTGGAGCTTGTGCTTCAGGGATGCGGGAAAGATGTGGTGCAGGCCATAGAGCAAATCCTAAACAACAGCGGTCAAGCCAAGGGTCCAGAGGAGACCTGGACGGCGGAGAGGATGCTGCAGAGCGTGCAGCCAACCATGTCCTCCACCCCGCGGCCTATGTTACCTGGAACCATGACGCTCAGCAATAGATCTGCTTTCTCTCCCCTGCAACCCAACGCGCCACACTTCGGTTCCGACCCGAGCACGTATCCTCTCAGTACACATTTGGGCCTGAACCCTCTCCGGCTGGCATACTCGGCTCACAGCAGAGGCCTGGCCTTTATGGCACCATACTCCACCACAGGTCTGATGCCAACACTGGGCTTCAGGCCGCCAATGGACTATGCCTTCAGTGACTTAATCAGAGACAGGACTCTCTTACATAAAGACCAGAGCTACACCAATGGACTGTACGGTCCTCTGGTCAACAACACTCAAGAGAAGCAGTGAGATGGTGTTTCCCAAATATAGACAAAAGTGTTTCATGTCTTTAAAGACTAAAATAAATCATCATCCCTAAAGACTCACACGCCTCGTGTTCCTGTATATAAAATATGTCTAGTTTAATCACAAGAAAAAAATGTGTTTGGTGGTCGTGGCTTCTTTGAAGTTTGTGATTAATCAAAAAAGAAAATGGTTACGTGTAAAGGTTAAAGTAGTTTCTGCCTATCTTACTGCAAGATGGCGTTACTGACACAAATAAACCGGTGAATTATTTTAGACCTTTAGTAGTGTAACCATAGTATTTTCACGTAATGTAAATGGTGTATTTTAAAATCCTTCACGTTTGTTACAGTCCATTTAGATTATTTACCAAGCGGATTAAGCCCCCGTGTGATGAATGATATTGCAATTCCTTGAATAATTTGCTTCATGATTTAAAAAAGGGACTCTTCTAGCATTATTGTAATCGTGAAGCGATTATTTTTTCCATCTTTTCTGCTCAGTGTGTGTAAATTGTACTATGTTCATTCAACAAAACAGAACAGAATTTCTTTGGATTCAGTATGATTACTGGCACAAGTAGACATTTGTGTTCCCTTTGTGAGTGATATATTGTGTTACACGACAGAATAATGTATATTGCATTTCTTGATGATGATAAAGTCATATTTGTTTTCTTAAAAAAATCAAAAGGGATCTAAAAAGATGTAAAATAATTGTTTGTTGAATTAAATCTTGCTGCGTTGCAAAGTGTAAATTTCACTGTGTAAATTTTGCAAAAATAAATGTTATTTTATTCTTACATTTTTCTTGTTTTGTGGATTTGATTTATCCTTTAATTTATATTCTGGCATTGAGTCCCATTTAAACTACAATTCGCATGTGTAATACTAACTTAATTTTAAACAATAGCATAATTAGGCTGATAATACGCAAAAACATCGATATAATAATATTGTAACAAAAATAAATTAAAGATAAAATAAAAATAAACAAACAAAAACTCAAATTTGCTGCACACACACACACACACACACACACACACACACACACACACACACACACACACACACACACACACACACATATATATATATATATATATATATATATATATATATATATATATATATATATATATATATATATATATATATATATAAACAGCCATGTCTGCGGTATATCTGCGGTCTAAGAAGAGATGTTTTAAGCTCAAAGATTTTGAAAGCCTCTAAACAGAGACAGTCTCAAAGCAGGAGTCCACTGTATATTCGCATGAGGAGTGTATAGCAGCACCATTGAAACGCGATGCCATGGAGACATAATCCCCCTCGCCAGAGCTCAAGTGTTTACTTTCTCCCCGCAGATAAAACAGTGTAAACAGCAGTGTCGGATTGACAGTGTGCCTTCATTTAACGGAGAAACCGAGCACTCCAATGTTCATAATGCACATTTGATGAGGTGCATGATAACACAGACCCTTCTCTCGGCCTGTAATATTTACATAGATAGTGTTTTAATAAATTGTGGATAAATTCCCCTGCCCGGGAGCTTTCTCTTCAAGGTATTTTTAAAGTTCAGTGTTTGTATTTGACAGGGGCATTTTAAACATTTTTTACACTGTAAGTAGAATTATATATAATATATTACAAATAGATCCATTTGATAAGCGCTAAGCTAAATGCATTACTTAAAGTTATGAGGTTGTATTGATAAGACCAAATAAGTTTAGAACTATTAAGTAACATTTATCCATATAAAAAGTTGTATTTAAACTGTATTCGAAAGGTGTTTAATTAAAAACGCTTTGACAATCAGTAAAAATATAACTTAAAAATAATTTAAATGTGTTAACATTTAACAAAAAACGTATTTTAAACTGGAAGTTTAAATTATTTGCATTAATTTCAAACATTTAATTATTATTAACATTTTTTTGTTACAGTACAGTAGATAACTAAAATGTAACTATCTTATTTTCGTTTTAAATGTATTTATTCAGAAAGATAACAACAGAAATGTAATAAGTTGATGGCTACATTGGATGCTTAAACACACCGTTTGTAGCCTAAACACTGTTGCGTAAATAGGTAGGCTATTTAAATAGGTCTTTTATAGACTACTAGAAGTATGTTCTTGCCGTGAAATCGAATATGCTGTTTGTTATTTCCAAAATAATAAAACAAAACAAAGCAAACAATTACCTCTTAATTATATTCGTACAGGCGGCTCGTTACAGATATCAACTGACAAGAGATAAAACAACACAATTATAAACTAGAATACAATTAATTAACTTTTATTTCTAATTTAATTTAACGAATTGTGCATTTAAAGTGGGATTAAAAAATCAATACAAATTACACAATCAACAAGTAGTGTTGAGAAATTCTCTGATCTTGTAATTGTTTCAGATTTTGGTCATCATTTTTTGTTATGCCCTATACTTAGCTCCAGAATGTCGCTCTCTTCTGGTAGAATGTGAAATTGAACCGAGAAGGGCCGTGAAATTCACAGGTAAATATCATTAAAAGCTTTGCCGACACCTTGTGGTAAAATCTATGAAGAACAGACACCAACACGAAGCCGAAAAAATAAAAATAAAAGCCGTTTATTCACGACTTCATTGCGGAAAACCGGAAGACGTGCTATTTGTGACGATGAGTTCCTGCTGGAGTTGCTCTTCTGGAGTAATTTAAGACGACCTGTTTTCAGTTACAAGTAAAACAAAGTAAGTTTTATGTCTTCACATTCTGTTTCACAACTCTTATTTAAAAATAATCTAGGAAACGATAAGTGAAATTAGACCTAAAGTGTTAATTGGTTGGACGCAGGTTATTTTGGTTATAGCCACCAATCTTAAGTCAAAACGGCTGGCAGACTGATATAAGGTAGGTCCATTTTATAATAAATCTAGGCCTACTTGTAAACATAAACCGTTTGAAAATGTCAATGAACAAGTGCTCACTTCTAAGGCAGCTCTGCTTACCCTGACAGTAGGCTAATTAATTTATATTTACACGCTACATTGGCTATTATTTTGTTTGATCTCTTAAATAATTTATTTATTTTTTTATATAAAATATTTGTTTTTACATCCTAAACCTTAAAAATCTCAGTGAGAAATGGGGAAGAATATAGCCTGGATGCAGATATAAATTTAGATCTGCTTGAGGTTAATTGTGAGCTATAAAAATATATTATTATATTTGAAAAATACAGTTCACATTGCCTTTTATTGAAAATATTGATCATTAATCTTATCTGTCTATTTTTGTATTGTGTATAGCCTATTTGATAGCTTTACAAAAGACATCTGTGTAGTCTTAAATATTAATTTATGGTCATTTAGATCTGTAGCGTCATCTACTGGACTGTTACAGCAGTACAGCATCTAAAACAGACTTGGTTTATATAAAGGGTTCCATACAGTCATCCTTGTAGAAAACAAGGCAAACGATTAGAGTGCAGTACAATATTTACTCTCCACATACTGTTTAGTACTGCAATGTAACTGAAACTGTAAATGTATGGTTTAATAAGCTGAAAAAAATACACTTTTAAGGGAACCGTTTTGAACCTTGGACAAAATAGAATGTAAATTGCATTCGTGCAAGTATTTATTTATTTGTTTGTTTAATTAGTTATTTTGAGTGTCATGTCACACAGGTAATCACGTTTTATGGCCCATATAGTGAAAATACCAAATTTATATCCCTTTTTGTATGAACTGCAGAAAAATGCTATGTGGTTCAGATGTTGACACACACCTGCAAAATAATATAATTGCAATGTTTGAAAATTCTGACCGCATGTAAATCTGTTAGCTTTGTGTAATAGTATAGCAGATTAGCAGATGGAAACTATCAGAAATATTTCTAAATATTTCATTATTTCATTTCATATATATATATATATATATATATATATATATATATATATATATATATATATATATATATATATATATATATATATATATATCCAACAGTTCTGTCTGGTTCTCGAATCTGATTGGCTTATAGCCGTATGATATTCTGCCAGTAAACAGCACTCATCCAGCCTTTTAACCCTTGTGTATTACTCTGCTTACATACTGTACAGCAACAAGCAGAGGACACTCTACAGCAGGGCTATTCAATTGGTGGCTCGTGAGGCAATTTGTTCCGGCCCTCCAAATAGTGTGACCAAGAAATCAAAAATAAATTTAGTTCATTTGAAAAATGGCCACTATAGATTTGAAGTGACGTGCGTCTGTTCCAGTTGAAGGCTGCGCAGAGCGTGAATCACCTGACATCAAGCAACTGGTGCGAGCAGCCGATAAGGTGTGTCAATAAAATTAGTCAGCAGTCAGCTACTGTCTGAGCCGTGGTATTTGCAAACAGCGATATGATTGGCTCACGCTTCTGTTGGTGCTTGAAAAGTTCAGAAAGTCCCTAGTTCTGCAGCGAACAAAGCCACTGAAGCAGTGCAGAAGGAACCCACAATTCAGTTCGGCAACTCTTGACGTCGTCCATTCAAAGTGAATGGGAAGCATTGATACCGATGCCCCGTGTGAATGGGTCGTTATTTAATCGTAAAGGCTTCTCAATGCTTCGTTTCTGTTGCATGGAACGAAACTGCTGCAACTAAACAAAGTTTTGCCACCGGTGCGCTAGTTTAAAGTTCCGAGCTTATAGACCAAGACTACACATGCACACTGGATTAACCACAGCTGCGGGTCATTTACATATCGCATCTTTTCCGTACGCAAGTTTGTTATTTCCAATATTAGAATATATGTGAATATGCGTGCACAAGTAGCACAATGCACTTATGCATTCCAGACGCAACGTGTACAGAACATCTCATGTGTAGTGGTAAAAGTTGTGCGAGGCTTTCAGTGCAATGTAAACAAAAGATATGTTAGACGATTTACAAATTATTAAAATGATTATATATGTATAAACGCAGATGATAACAACAGTTCATTTAAATACTTAAATGAGCTAATGAGCTAATAATGAGCTAATATAAAACTTACCTTTACATTAGATGTGACAACTAAAATCTATATTTGTTGCATCCTTAATTGTTATGC